TGAAAGCCCCCAATACAAGTGGTAAAAGTACGATTGCGCCACCTCTCCCGTCACCATACCACTCGTTGCAGGAACAATCCCACGCGGATGCACTCCCGCGATATATTTGGCCTCGCGCGCGAGTTTACATCGGCTTTACTCTCGCAAAAAAGCGGCTCCGCCGTCGCCATTTCCCGGCGCAGACGGCGGGGGCATTTGGCCATTTACAAGCCCAGCAACGCCGGCTGGAATTCTTCTATTTTACATGTTGATTTAGCCGAGGTGCCGTAAACGCGGGGAACGTTGCACAGCACCTCGTAAACCTCGGTTAACGCCCGACCGGAGAATCCATGACTTCCCGGTGACAATTGGAAAATCCAGGGCAATCGTAGCACAATGACACGACCGATTCGCACCCTCTTCCACCATAGCTGTCGGTGTACCAAACAAAACAGAAATTTATTCGACCGGGCGAATCTCGAAAATTATGAGCCGACGGCAGTGCAAATCACTCGTCAATTTTAGTGGTAATTTAATGCCGCAAGTTAAATACGCGCGAGAAAAATGAATGAAAGAAAACCAGGCTGCGAGGTGCGCTCACGCCCTTGTCACCGACACTTATTATCACGAATCCGGATTCCCGTGTGCACGGTGCCGCGTGCACGCAGGCCGAACACACGCGCGCGCGCGCGCGCGCGCGCTCGCACAGAGGCACACAGAGATAGAGAGATAGAGAGAGAGAGAGAGAGAGCCGGATGCACATAATCGGGAGTGAGTGCGCGCGCTCACTCACGCGTATACACGTACACGTGTTCACGGCAACTTTGACTTTTATTGCACGGCCGATGTCGCTGAATGCATAACGACTCCAATTTTATAGAAGACACAGTCTCGAGAGGGATATCTATTGTATACTACGTGAAAGACAGGATGACCGAGATTGCTTTTTTATATTTTAGGACTCTCTCCGCTACCCCCCCCCAACCGCCAGTTATCACGCGCCCTCGTTTTGTTTGCATAATATGGGCTATTATCAAAGCACAGCTGTCAAATGGAAAAGAAATCGATCGGCCATTAGTACGCATTTAAAAGTGTACAAAATTACGGATTAATGTTGAATGCGGTGGCAAATGAAGGCGTGAAATTATGATGGCAGTAGAATTATTAAACTTTCAAGTTGCTTGCAACAAGTACTAGAGTTTAGTTGAATGGCTGCGGTTGAAAATAAAGTTACCATTAAACGTGTCAACTCGATCGTGACACATGAATTGCAAACTACGCCTAAAGCCCATGTAGCTTCCTACATAAGCAACATCGGCATGTATTGTAAATTGTAACAGGATTTGTAATGTTGATAATGGAGAGCGATGGAGGCGATGTAATATGTATAATAAGTCGATAGAGCGCGTGAACAAAAAGAATTCGGTATTTCGTGTCTATCGTATCAAAAAATCCTCGGCCCCGCAATGTGAGATGCGAGGTAAAATTGCTGCGTAAACTCCGATTTATATTTCCGCGATATAATAAAATATGCGCAAGATCGTAATCGGGCCTCGCGAGGGGGCTAAGTGCAGTCGGTGCATTTTCCTTCGGCGTTCATTCGTTTCGAAACGGCCAGAACGCTCGTCGGTGAGGATCATTAGTCAACGCGCACATAGAGTGTCTGTAATTACACGACTCGCGAGCCCCATAATGTTTGTACATACATACGCATGCGCGCACTCGAGAGTGCTCTTGTGCAACGAAACTGCCACGATGTTATAATTGACACCGACGCGAGGATCGGACGGCCTCTTTTCATCGAGTGTATGCTTTTAATTATCCCTGTTCTTCCGAGATTTGCAGCTTCCACGTTACTCTGTGTGCGTGCGTGCTCATTTGTTCTGCGATCGTCATACATACATACATACATGCACCGATACTGAGACGAACGCAATGCTTTTTACCAGAAATCCTCACTGCTGAATTGTTATGATTTTGGCGTTGGCAAAATTTTGAATGCCGTACTATTTCTACTCTTATTTCTTTTTTAGCTAACGGTAACGCTTTTATGCATTTTGAATGTAGACACTCGCGTATATGTGAAACTAAGATATTTCAAATATAACGTAATATAGCCTGCCTGCATTATTCAATGGAATTTTAAGCAATTTATTCTTAACATAGCACGCACGCTTCTAACTCCTAAATTGTTCCATGCAATTAACTATTATCTTGATTTGAATATTATTTCACGGATTTGAAGGTATGACTGTTGAACAAAAAAAAAAGGAAAGATAAAAAAACATCGATGATGGCAGACTTTAGTCACAGTTTCTATTTTCCAATTAAATCCACCGCATATAAATTAACGATGTGAACTATACTTTCAAGTTTTTTACGTGCTTTGTTTCACATAATTTTATCAAACTTGAAGTACGCGAATTAGTTGCTAACTGTAAAATATGAACAAAATCCATTACGTACGTTAACAAATATTGCATGGTAATATTGCGGTTTGTATGGAATAAATTTTCATTATTTATTTATTATCAAATAAAGGTTAGTGTAAAACGAAGTTATTTTTTCGTCATATATACAAATGAAAATGCGAATCCATAAATAAATTGCTTATAAAAATATTCCACGTTTTAAATAAACAAAAAAAAAAAAAATTTTTTTTTATCATTGCTTTAAATAACAATTTATTTTTCAATATTTTGAATAAACATGTAAAGACTGATATTTTTAATCATGTTTTATGTGAGCGGCAAGTACGGGCATCATTATATAGTGATTTTTTTTTTCTTACAATCTACACATTCTTCAACAGAAATATACGAATTTTGGTCAAAAAGAATTTGACATATATTCTATCCGATTTGTCTTGTATAAGAATTAAAATGTCGACGTGTTTTTTCTTTTTGCTTTTAGAAAATATTAACCACAATATAAAAGTTTTTCTCACTGAGCGATGCTGCTTATATAAAATGTACCTTGAAAACAACTTTTGTAAAAGGCAATCTCTGATATTTTGAAATGAACACGCTAATTACGGATAATTACCTTTTACGGTCGTTTAAAAATATTAAATGCTGTGGATACTAAATAAAAAATTCTGAAAATAGTTACTTTATTAAGTGATTTTTATCTGGCTTGCAGCATGCACGAAAATAATGGCTCGCTCACAGTGGCTCACTCACAAGACAAATTTTTTCGCTTATCTCGTGAAAGTACACGATTTCTATATTTAAATTTGATAACCTTGATTAGAATACTCAAACTTGAATATGCATTAAGCAACACGATTTCTTTGATAGGAAATTTTGTCGTGGACATTGGACACGGACAACAATGCATACACGTTTGGCAGTTTGTACCTTAAACCAACATTCATTGTTTAAAGTTGGAGAAAAAATGCATAAATGACCTTCGGGTCGATAAACATCATACAACAACTACATTACTAGATTAGAACTGCTTAACTACATGTAAATAAATCGTGACCCGACAAACATTGAGTCGAGATGCGACCATTTGCAATAGCGTCGGGATAAAGTATCCTCGAGAGCCTCAAAGTAAGTATGAGAGTGCAGAAAAGTCGACTCTTCGTCGTGTTGAATCGTCGAGGACGAAACTAGAGGAGAGAGAACTAATGGGCCAAAAGAGATAAAACGAAGAATACGAACGAAGAATCTTTTCACGCGGGAACTTTGAATAAGAAATAATAGAAGTGAGGCTCTGAAACGAAGTGCTCCGCAATCGATTCCGATAACTTATAAGTATGCCGCCACCACAGAATGCCTCCTATTTTTCAATTATTCGAGTCACCGAACTCGGCGATTTTACATAAAACGTAAATTATTTCCCAGCCTAAGATCGTCCATTAAGATTGGAGAGCTAAGGCTGGTGTAGGAAAATGATCTTAATCGCCTATTATCATTGCGCCTCGAATGACAGCATACAACAGGTTCGACAACAGTTTCGCGAATCAACCAACTGGAATTTTAGCACGGATATTAAAGAACAGAAGTTATAATACATTGTCACAGTGGATTTCTTTTGTACTTTTTTCCTCCTTTTTATCGGGCTTCCGAATCCTTTGCAAACACAAGTACCCGCGTGTTACAACGCTCTTTCTCTCTCTCTCTCTCTCTCTCTCTCTCTCTCTCTCTCTCTCTCTCTCCCTCTCTCAATCGCCTACTTTCAACATGTTAAAAATATTAATTAATCGCTGGAGTTTATTTAGGCTAGAGAGAAATACAAGGTTTCTTTTTCGACTTTTACATTATGTATATATATATATATATATATATATATATATATAGAGCGCTTTTGCGTAATTTATCGCGACGTTTACTCTAGACTTCTGTCGAGAAAAATTACAAGTTCCGTGGACTCTTTTTTTCTTCATATATTCCTTCTTTTTTTCTTCCTCTTCAAAACTCTTGGTTTGCACACGCTTTATGCGCGTGATATACGGCGAATGCAAATATTGTTTCTGTGCGTTCGCCCGCCCGCTCGTTCAAAAAAGCATAAACTATCGTCACACTCGCCATGCGACGGAATTACATTTCAATAGAGCCTCGGCGGAGGCTCGAGGAAATCGCCGACGAAACTCGCGAAGGGCCGCCTTTCCCGTCGCACACACGTCAAATTGTCGGGCTATCGGCTTTAACGGCGGCGCCCCCAAGTCTCATTTCCGTCGGCTTGAGCCGCCTTGGATATGGCTCGGCTCGCTCTATAAGTCGAAACTACCTCTTACCGTTTCTTCCCTCTCTCGTCTTTGTTTATGCCGCAAGGACGAGAAGGGGGCGGCTGAGAAAGAACACTCGTCCCTACCGATCAAAGAAAGTCCATTCGGTATTCATTGGGCGCGTCGCCCGTGAAATCCTCGAGTTCATCGGCGTATCGGCGACTCGCACGCGCGCTGTATAGATCGCGGCCCTCGAAAAAAGCGGATCATTCTCCGAAAGAAGAAGCGTCAGAAAGAAGAAGGCAGTGCCAGGGCACGTGCTCGGGCGTAAAAAGACGAGGCTTACCGGATGCCGGGCGGCAGCTGCCGCTGCGACAGCTGCCGCATTGATGCCGCCGCTCGGATACATCCTCCTGGTCAGGCCGATGAGGTCGAGGGTATGGCCGTAAGGCCGCGGGGACGGCGACGCGGACGACGAAGACGAGGCTGCCTCCTTGGACGACGAGCCTGCCTCCTCGCGCTCTCTCCTCGTTATCCCCGGAATATTTGCGCCTTCGGCTC